GTGTTCTCCTTTTTTAAAAAGAATCGATAAAGAATCGAATCGTTAAACAGAATCGAAAATGGAATCGGAATTGTGAAAATCTTATCAATACCTATCCCTAGTAGCAACAGCTAGAAATCTGAATCCGTTTTCATTATTTGTTGAGAAGTTTGGACACATAGTCATTTATGGGTTTTCTTTATTTATGTCTTTATTATTTATTTTTCATTTTAGTGTATTTTGTTTTTAGATTTTTCAAAGTGAATACCAATCATTTTAAACCCCCCAAGACCTGTGGGAAAAACTCCTATGCTCCGATCCCCATCAAAAGTAATTTCTCTCTCAGATATATGGTAGACTCCTTTCATCTGTTTATTCCTCACCATCCAATGTTAAATCTGCATGGGAGAGAGAGCTGGGAATTAGCCTGAACAAGTGTTGGAATGTAAACCTCGATTCACACCCACCTCTCTTTATACAATTTCAGGATTCACCTATCTAAAGCTGTCTATCAATTTTTTATACTTAAAATCAATAGCTTCAATAAATGTCAAGTTTTACGTTACCTTTCTCATATATCAATTAGTCAATTGGAGTTCTTACCATTTATCTTCTTATTATTTTCTTTATTAATAAATTCACCTTATTATTGGCAACACAACACCTACTCTTCTTCTGGAAAACAGTGCCCTGTACCACACTCGGTGGCTCCGTGAAGCAATGTCTTTATTTAATCCAATTTTATAATCCTTGATCCTGATAGTGATCCCAATTTCTTGTCCTCCCACCTTTCCAAATCTAATAAGTCATAACCAATGGATCTTTTATTGTCATTGTTTGGACTTGTGACTAAGATTGTTTCACCCTGTCAAACCGCGTTAAATCTAATTTAACTTAATACAATTAAATGAAACAAATAGTAACTCAATCCTACATTGATTAGGACACTCCAAAACGTTGATTTTGTATTCTTTGATCCATTCAGAGGTAGACTTGCTGGTGTGTTTTGGATCATTGACCTGCTGCATAGCGCAAGTGTCCTTGAGTTTCAGGGCACAAACTGACAGCCAAACATTCTCCTTCAGGAAACAATCTCCTTTTTCAATAAAGAGCCGAATTCATGGTTCCATCAATTATTCCTTTTGTATAGTTTCACTGGTTCTTCTATACTTATACTAAATAATTTTCATTACTTTATATACCACTTCATTTAAATATGACAACTTAATCTGTAATAGATTTTATTTATATTCTATATTAACGAATCAAATCATGCAAATCCATGTCCCCCTTTAAGCAGTGATTACATTGTGCAACATGGACAGTTGTAGACATCATAAGGGTGAAGTCAACCATTTGGCTACATGTGCAATTTTTGCATTCTAATGGTAAATCTCTACAGAAGTGTCTGCCCATAAAAAAAACAGGAAGATGAGCAGAAATCAGCACAGACTGTCATGCTCACTGTCTGATGACAATGATGTTTAGACCCAAGGAGAACCTAGGAGATATAAAGAATAATCAAGGTTTTATTTCAGTCTTACCCCCACATACTGTGAGATGTGACTCTCTACTGAGAGAGGACCGCTGCTGTCAGGCTACAGCAAGTTCATGAAAAATTTAACAGACGTAAAGCTTGTGAACTATGACAGCTTTGGTTTTAACTTAATCCAGTTTTGGTGTTAATGTGTCAAAAAATGAAAACAGTCATTGCTGGAAGTAGTTAACAAGCTTGTTTTCATTAACATTTAAACTGTCTGTGTCACAGTTCTGGGGCAATTCGACCCAGCATTTTGAGTTTATTATGCTTTGATTTATTTTTTGAATGATGGGTTCTTTATGTTTCTTTGGTGCTTTGTTGATTATTATTATAATCTCTGTTTCAGTTATTCTTGTTAAGAGATTAGTTCTTATGTTTGGTTTTTCTCTGAATTATGATTTGCTTGGGTTTTGAGTAGTGATTCATGTTTCCTGTAGTTTTGTAGTGTCGTTTATAATAAGTTTAACTGGGACAAGGTGAGCTACCTCGCTGATTACATGATGATTCTGCTTAGGGTTTATGAAGTAGTGAATTCATGTTTCCTGTTTCAATTTAGTGGTGATAGTCTTTGTCATTTTTTAATTTTTTTCTTATGTTCACGGTGTGCAGCTTTGGTTCCCCGTCTGTCTATCAGCCCTGATCCTCCCAGTTGTGTCTTCTCTCCTGATTGTTCCAATGTCCGAATCATAAAATTAAATCCGCTGTGTAAAGCCTGTGTTTTCCCCGGTTGCCTCGGTGTCGCGGGCGTCGGGGAAGGCCGTCCTCCACATCCCGTAGCCCTGATAGTGTATCCAGTATCTAGTTGGTTGTACAATGTTTGTGTTTCTTTTTTTGTTGGAGCACCGATAAAGCTGTGGGTGGGTGGTCCACAAGATGTTTTATCATGCTCTCCGGCCAGTAGTCCTGGCATCCTTGATCCACATCTTTCCACCCGCGCACACAAGCTCCGGGCGACATATCTCTGAGCAGGTGGAATTGCCAATAGTGATGTGTTAAAAAAGGTGTTGGCCTTTTTATCCCAAAAATTGATCACATTCCGTGTGTGTGTGTGTGCGTGCGTGCGTGCGTGCGTGCGTGCGTGCGTGCGTGCGTGCGAGCGAGCGAGCGAGAGAGAGAGAGAGAGAGAGAGAGAGAGAGAGGAGAACCTGCAGGTCTCTACTGCTGTTGGGATTGAATCACAACAAAAATAAAACACATGCTGGAAAATGGAAAATGTGTGTCAGGCGAGTCTTGGTTTCAGGTTTCAACACTCATGCCTGTCATTGACCTTGTGAAGAGTGATCATAGGATTGCTTCACTTTGTCTGCAGTGCTTGAACTGAAACTTGAGAAGAGTTCAGCTACTCAAGCAGCAACATCTCAATTAATCGATTTAGGTTATTAAAATATTCACAGAGAGCAACATAACTGCTTGTGGAATTTTGCTCCCAAAACAAAACAGCCAATCACTGCAATGAATAATCAGTCTGTTGTACATGAATAAAGTTTGTAACCAGCAGCTAGTTTGGTGATCAGAGCACAGTTAGCTTGCACTACATTTTTTGTTGTTGCTTATAATAGTCCTTTTAACAAAGACAACCCCAAATGACAGGTGCAACCACTGTCAAGTGTTGAAGCAACACGTACATCTAAATCCTGCCTTAAACCCTCACGCTGTTGAGTTCTTGAACCTAGGATCTTCTTGCTGTAAGGAAAAAGTGCTGACCACCACACCTTTGTTTTTGACTAAGCATATTACTTAAAAAAAAGAAAAACTCCTACTGTTTAAAAAAAGTTATTTTCAAGGCTAGCAAAACAAGAGAAAAGACACCAAAGAATGCTTGGGAGGAACTTCTTGTACCTCAGATAAGTACAGACTTTCCCTGCATCATTTACAGTTGTATACGGGAAATAGGGCTGGGCAATATGAGGAAAACATAATATCACAATGTTTTTGGCTATATCACAATATGTTTAAATAGCCTCCAAAAACAAATGTTATTTTCAACCATATAGTGCCTAAAATTGCACTGGTATACTCATTCAAATCGACCACTCAATATTTTTTTCTACTTTGAATAAAAAAAAAATCATGTTTTAACCATCAGTTGCACACAGAGGTTTTTTTTTTACAGATGACAATACTGTCACAGTAAGTCTCTCTGTGGTCAACACTAGACCTTTAACAAACAAAAGATCATAGCAACAAAAATTTACAGCAAGCAAGAATTCACGAGACAAAACAAAACAGTTAAATTAAAAAGGTTCTCTTTTGTGCTTCTAACCTATAAGGTTATAATAAAAAAATGTGATCACCTCAAATTACAGAAACATAAGCCTAGACAGTGACTAAAACAGAGTGACCAAGAACAGTCGCGGGTGTCACAGCTGGTTCATTTAACGTTTTCTTTGGTGTGTGGGGAGACGCTGACATGCAGAGTTTAAAACAGGCTTCATTTTGCAGTGGATGACTTTTCAGCTGGTGGAATACATTTGTGGTGCTGCTACCTTTTGCAGCAATATTTTTACAGGATGTTTTGCAAATTACCACATTTTGTTCGACACTGTCGTTAAATCTAAACGACAGCGATTCTCATTATCTTGCTCATCTAAAACTCCTGCTGTCGCCATGTTTTTCCCCACCTGGTAGTATATAAACACTAGGGGTGCAACGATACTCGTATCGATATTGAACCGTTCGATACAGTGCTTTTGGTTCGGTACCCATATGTATCGAACAATACAACATTTTTTAATTTATTTTATCAACTTTCCTTCTGACGATGCTGTCTGTGTTGAGCGCTCAGTGAATCTGCGCTCGACAGTGCCGCCTAGGCGGAGTAGTCGAACGCAGATTCACTGAGCGCAGGGCAAGCTAGCGAGACAGAAGTTAAGCTCTCCTTGCAACATGGCAAATTGAACCTCCCCCACCCTCATTCAGATCTGGCGTTTGGAACTATTTTGGTTTTCATGTGACGTATGACCCTGAAGGTAAGCGCGTCATGAAGTAAAACAGTATGTTGGATGTGCCACGCAATGCTCAATTACATGGGTGGGAGCTAGTGTGTTAGCGCAGTTTGCTCGTTAACGTGTTGGCCGTCCAGCCCCACGCACGGGGCGATCCGCGGTAGCTCGTTAACGGAGATTTGCCGTGTTGTGGCGTTAACGTCATTTCAACGAGATTAACGCTGACAGCACTAGTGGGAACACAACGAATATGACTGCACATTTATGCCGACATCATCCTAGTGCAAAGACAAGTGGAAGCAGACAAAAACAACAAGCATGCATGCTACAAACTTTACCCGAGTCATTTAGACAGCCGTTAGCACATGATTCTCCTTATGGGGACCTGATACAGTGGGGCAAAAAAGTATTTAGTCAGCCACCGATTGTGCAAGTTCCCCCACTTAAAATGATGACAGAGGTCAGTAATTTGCACCAGAGGTACACTTCAACTGTGAGAGACAGAATGTAAAAAAAAATCCATGAATCCACATGGTAGGATTTGTAAAGAATTTATTCGTAAATCAGGGTGGAAAATAAGTATTTGGTCACCTCAAACAAGGAAAATCTCTGGCTCTCACAGACCTGTAACGTCTTCTGTAAGAAGCTTTTCTGTCCCCCACTCGTTACCTGTATGAATGGCACCTGTTTGAACTCATCATCTGTATAAAAGACACCTGTCCACAGCCTCAAACAGTCAGACTCCAAACTCCGCCATGGCCAAGACCAAAGAGCTTTCGAAGGACACCAGGAAAAGTATTGTAGACCTGCACCAGACTGGGAAGAGTGAATCTACAATAGGCAAGCAGCTTGGTGTGAAAAAATCAACTGTGGGAGCAATCATCAGAAAATGGAAGACATACAAGACCACTGATAATCTCCCTCGATCTGGGGCTCCACGCAAGATCTCATCCCGTGGGGTCAAAATGATCATGAGAACGGTGAGCAAAGATCCCAGAACCACACGGGGGGACCTGGTGAATGACCTGCAGAGAGCTGGGACCAAAGTAACAAAGGTCACCATCAGTAACACACTACAACGGCAGGGAATCAAATCCCGCAGTGCCAGACGTGTTCCGCTGCTGAAGCCAGTGCATGTCCAGGCCCGTCTGAAGTTTGCCAGAGAGCACATGGATGATACAGCAGAGGATTGGGAGAATGTCATGTGGTCAGATGAAACCAAAGTAGAACTTTTTGGTATAAACTCAACTCGTCGTGTTTGGAGGAAGAAGAATACTGAGTTGCATCCCAAGAACACCATACCTACTGTGAAGCATGGGGGTGGAAACATCATGCTATGGGGCTGTTTTTCTGCCAAGGGGACAGGACGACTGATCCGTGTTAAGGACAGAATGAATGGGGCCATGTATCGTGAGATTTTGAGCCAAAACCTCCTTCCATCAGTGAGAACTTTGAAGATGAAACGAGGCTGGGTCTTCCAACATGACAATGATCCAAAACACACCGCCCGGGCAACAAAGGAGTGGCTCCGTAAGAAGCATTTGAAAGTCCTGGAGTGGCCTAGCCAGTCTCCAGACCTCAACCCCATAGAAAATCTGTGGCGGGAGTTGAAAGTCCGTGTTGCTCGGCGACAGCCCCAAAACATCACTGCTCTCGAGAAGATCTGCATGGAGGAATGGGCCAAAATACCAGCTACTGTGTGTGCAAACCTGGTAAAGACCTATAGTAAACGTTTGACCTCTGTTATTGCCAACAAAGGTTATGTTACAAAGTATTGAGTTGTATTTTTGTTATTGACCAAATACTTATTTTCCACCCTGATTTACGAATAAATTCTTTACAAATCCTACCATGTGGATTCATGGATTTTTTTTTCACATTCTGTCTCTCACAGTTGAAGTGTACCTCTGGTGCAAATTACTGACCTCTGTCATCATTTTAAGTGGGGGAACTTGCACAATCGGTGGCTGACTAAATACTTTTTTGCCCCACTGTATGTTTAATATGCTGCTGAGAATATAGCCCAGAAGAAGCGTATAGTATAGCTTTTATTTTGGAAAGAGACATTTCTCTGTAATAAACTCTCTTTTCCAAAGATGAGTGATTCCTCAATCAGATACAGGGCTCGCAATATCGCTAGCCCGACGTCCCGGGGCTAGCGATTTTTCCAGTCGGGCTACCAAAATCTATCTCTGCCCTGCCCGTCGGCCTATCGTAGGAAGGAAAAATATATGTCAATGCTTTTGCATTCTTTCGGAAATGTAGCTGGGTAATTATGTCATTGGCATCGGTGAGCCACTGTCAATATGTGACATACTGAAATCGCGTTTGAGAAAAAAAACTCAGCGAATTAAATGCAGACAGCTTAATATTGCCATGGCAATTTATACTTGATGGTTACGATAAAGCCATTTTAACCATCATATTTGGAAAAACTCGTGATACCATCAAGTATATTCGATATATCGCCCACCCCTAACTGGAAACATAAATAAACTGACTGAAAAGCAGGACCACTGCAGGGTATTTTAGGGCTTACCTTTTTCAGTACGTCATCCAAGAGCCCCATGTTGGCTTCCTGAGCCTTAATGGTGTGTGAGAAAAAAGCGTACGTCTTCTTGGGAATGATCTTCTCCTCCGGCGGCCTCTTCACTCCAATTATCAGTGATGCATCTGAAATGTTCTCCTGAATGATAGCCCCTGCCTTCATATAGTACTGAAAGAAAGTACGGTCTAAATGTTATGGCTTACAAAATGTTTTTAATGTGTCTTCAAGTTTGTCTGTATTTTTAGTCCCATAAGCTATACATTTTATAGGTACAATATGTTTTTAGAGGAAGCAAAGATGCCTAAAAGTCACCAAATGTAAAATCGCTAAATACTATCCAAAAAAATTTATTCTGTTAATCTGGACGTAGCATTTTTAGTGGAAGAAACGTTTCATCACTCCCCCGAGTGACTTCTTCAGTCTTAGCTGACTGCAGGTTTCCCCAACCTTATAAACAGTACATTTGCACAATGACTGAAACTAGAACCACTGACAAATAATGAGCTGTGAGGTCAGCTTGATCATTACTATGCAAATTGTCATGACCATTGATCAACAACCATTGATCAACACCCACTGATCAATGACCATGAGTATTCCCAGTTGGGGAATGGCTGTAAGATGGCAAAAAATGTACCCTTAGGCCCCCTCCTTGATTCAGAGATGGTCTTTCCCTTTTCACGTAAATGGCCTCTTTGACTCCGCGCTCAAACCAGCGTTCCTCCCTGTCCAGGATGTGTACATCCTCATCATTGAAAGAGTGTCCACTGGCCTGTAGGTGTAAACAGACTGCGGCCTGATGAGTTAGCTCTTCACTGTTGTGCCATCCACTTTGCTAGAGGTTGTTTGGTTTCCCCGATGTATAAATCCTGGCAATCCTCCTGGCACTTAACAGTGTACACTATATTACTCTGTCTGTGTCAGGGGACCCCATACTTGGGATGGACGAATTTTTGCCGCAGCGTGTTTTGGGGTTTGAAAGTCACAGAAACGTGGTGTTTAGAGAAAACATGTCACAGCTGTTCCGATACTCCTGACACATAAAGGATCACTACAGGTTTTTGCTTAGGCAGCAGTTGTCCTTCTCTCCTGGATCGGCTGGAGCTTTCTTTTGGCGCCTTCCCAGCTTTGACAAATGTCCAGCTGGGATAACCACATTTACTCAAGGCCTTGTTGATGTGCTGTTCTTCTGCTTCCCTGGCCGCTGTGTCTGTGGGGATGGTGTTCACTCTGTGTTGTAGCTTCCTGATGATGCCCAGTTTGTGCTCCAGTGGATGATGAGAGTCAAACCTTAAATACTTAAAAGCTTTTTGGTTTACGGTACACATCAACTTTTAAATGTCCCTCATTACTGATGGAAATCTTACAGTCTAAGAAGGCTAACCTGCCACTTTTCATATCCTCCCTGGTGAATTTGATGTGTTGGTCCACCGAGTTAATGTGATCCGTGAATTGTGGTGCGTCCTGAGATTTGATTTTCACCCAGGTGTCATCCACATACCTGAATCAATGACTTGGTGGTGTTTCAGGGTAGGATAACAGAGCACTCTGTTCCATTTCTTCCATGTACAAGTTGGCCACAATAGCTAAAACTAGGGAGCCCATGGCACACTCATGTTTCTGCCTGTAGTAGTGATCCTTGAATGTGAAATATGTGGAATGAAGACATAGTTCCAAGAGCAAACGTACTTGGTCGGTGAACATCAAATGAAACCATCTGCCTGCATAATGACAGCTCTCATCTTCTCAACAAAATCAAAAGTGTTCTGCATGGTGTTCAGAGCTGCTTACCAACAGCTTGAGGATCAAAGCCAGAAACTTTGAGATGTTATAGGTGACCGAGTTGATTATACAGACAATGGGTCTTAAAGGTAAACCCTCTTTATATTATTGATATTATTATTGATATTAATGATCAAGAACCTCACCTCAAAGGTCATTGATCGTCAGTGGTGCTAATTTCAGTCATTATGCAAAGGTACTGTTTATAACGTTGGGGAAACCTGCATTCAGCTGAGACTCAAGGAGTCACTTGGATGAGTGACGAAACGTTTCTCCCACTGAAGACGTTATGTTCAGATGAACAGAATCAACTTTTTGGGATTTCCTTACTTGTATGATCGAGCATGCGTCAAGATATTAAATACTACCTTCATAGATCTGAAAATCAAAACACCACCTGAAGAAGTGAAAATTAAACAAAGTATTCCTTCTCTCACCTTCTCGTGAATAGCTCTGCGGTTGGATGGCTGTACCAGGACTTTTACGCCAGCATTTGTGAGCTCTTTGACATGTCGTGGTGCCAGTGGCGCCCTCCTCTCCCAGGGATTGACATCCTCGCGACGTATAGCCATGACGGCCCTGTGGTGCTCATAGCGCCGCTGGGCCATGAGACTGGTGCACATTCCCTTACCTTGATGATGGAGGATTCGGAACATGACTTCACCTCCTCCTGCCTGAATTAAAAGAAGAGAAACAGAAATAGAAAGGGCAACCTGTGACGAGGCTAGGGAGAGTGTGGCTGAAAGGTCAAAAATTTGCTGCTGGGAGAGAAGTGACATGAGCTCACAAGGAAGCTGTTCTTCCAGACCAGGAATCATATTAACATGTTATAACATTTAAATTATTTTTAACAACTAGAATACTTTATTATTATTGATAATACTCACTTCAGTTTTATTTATATAACACCAAATGCCTCAAAGTGATTATTGTTACTTTATCATTATTATGATAAGGTAAAGACCCTACAATAATACAGACAAAAACCCCAGCAATCAAATAATTCTCTGAGCAAGTACTCTTGTTCTATGGCCTCACCAAACTCCTTCCACACCCAAGCTTTTGTTTCAGCTGCCAGGCATTCCCATCAAACACTTTCTAAATGTATGGGTGCATCCTCCCCTACAATCTGATCTACCTGACCTGACCTGCAATCTGGGGTGTTTTGGTGCCACATGTACTTATGGACCCTTGTGTTTGAACTAGAGATGTGTGTGACTAGTCGTTCATATGACTAATCGTCACTATTGTCACTAGTTGGAACTGAGGATGGCACGATGCCACCTTTTTATTTTAGATACTGATATTTTAAATTTGGATATCTGAAAAACAAAGGAAGTGCAATATCAGCATGAAATGGTGTTTATATTCAACAAACAATTGTAGAATGGACCCTTGTAGGCATAAAGGCATCATTTAACATCAGTCGTTTTTCTTGTTTTTCTGTTTTGAGTATAATTTTAGGTTGTTGCCTAAGTCATTGTTGAAGTCTCCCAGTAGGACAAGGGTGTCAGCAGGTGGAGCACCCTCAAACGCCCCACCAAGTGACTCCAAGAACGCTGGGTATTTTACACTGTTCTTTGGCACATAAACTCAAATGACAGTCAGTGTTCCGTTTGGGTAAGTGGAGCAACCCTCTCATGCACAATGAGAACCTCAGTGTACTGGTAGCAAATTGATGGGATACAAGAATACCCACCCATGGATATTCTGGGGTTGCCTCTCACCGAGGGCAGACTGAAACAGAGCCCATTACAATAGTTCCCAAGCCCAAGCCATGGGTCGAGGTGAGCCCGACTATATCTAGCCAGTATCTCTCAATCTCATGCACTAGTACAGGGCCCTGTCTCAATATGCGTACTTGTGCGTATTTGCGTTCTCGCGTACTCGTGATACGTCATCAGTCGGAGACCAAGTACTGTTCCAATTCAAAGTACACATCAAGCCGAGAACGCAAAAAAGTCCCGGATGTGTTCTCGCTCCGCCCGTTTTATCGAGCATGCATCGGTGGTGACTTGTGTGGACTTGGTACAACTAAATATCCCAGAATGCATTTCGTCCAAAACTTAAACGCGGCAATGGCGGACGAGCGGGGTTGAAAACTTTTAAATATTACTCTTTCTGCGTCACAAAATAAACTTTTAAGATATTTTCAGGCAAGAAGGTAGCTGTGTAAACTTCAAATATCTGCTCGATTTATCAAGACATCACATATTTACAAAAGTGCTCTGACATTTTCTAGGGCTGCTCGATTATGGCAAAAATGATAATCCCGATTATTTTCAATGAAATTGAGATCACGATTATTTCACGATATTTATTTAACAATAACAATGCATTGAATAATTGCTTTAAAGATTGTCAAAAAATAATATAAAACAATGTGCAAATTCTGATAACCGTGCAAATGTTTGCAATATAAAAAATAAATAAAAAGATGTAAACATTAATGTTTAGTGAACTTCAAACTACTGCATAATATTTATGCATACAAATAACCAAACATCAAGGCAAGCTGTGTAGCCACACACTGCACAATTGCATCAAACTGACATTGAGGTATGTCAACTAAAGTTGCTGCCTGAACAAAAATAAAATTATACACTGAAAGTAGTACCTTTTATAAGAAATAAATGAAAACTAGTAGGCCCGAGTCCCATACAATCTCAAAATGGCTCAACAAAACATGGTTCCTGCAACCTTTCAAAGGTTTTTAGCCAAAAACACCAGCCTATTGACATGATCAGGCTTCAGGGATGCACGCAGGCAGTTGACAACATTTCCACCAGTGCTAAAGACCCTTTCTGATGAGGCACTTGTGGCTGGGATGCAAAGATATTTCTTTGCCAGGATGGAGAGTCGTGGGAAGAGGTTCTGTGATAGCTTCCACCACCCCAGTGGGTCTTCCTCTGTGTCCAGGGTCCCTGCCTGGAGGTAGGCCTGAAGCTCAAAAGCTATGGCCTGGTCCAGTTGAAGAGCATGTTCTGCACCTGGAGCTGTGCTGTGAGGGGCCTTAAAGAAGCTGCTTAGGCCCTTTTTCCTCTTCTTTTGGTTTGATGCACCATCATCAGCAACCTCCGTGTTACCAACGGGTGTCCCCATCACTGTAGCCTCCTTTAATGGGACAAATAAAATGACAGCAACACAGAATGAGGAACCAGTTTTATCTGTCTCAGGTTTGGCATTCTAAAATACAATCCTTAAATAATTACTATAAATAATGATAGATAGATGGATGGATAGATGGATAGATAGATGTTTAGTATCTTTATAAATACCATGATGGACTTCATTTCCATTGTCAGTCTGGCTTTTATTGTCTCTTGGCTGACCTCGCTTACATATCTCAGGTTGAACCTTGGGTCCAGGACAGTGGCCATGTCAAGCAACTCTTGTGTTGGTGAGTCACCATACTTTTCATTTAGGTACTCCAGTATTCTCCTCTTGATGCATTTTGAGAGGTCTGTGTCATCATCTTGCTCAGCCAAGACTGAGTTGTTAAATAGGTGGAGTGTTGGTTTTATTAAAGACACACTCACATATTTCTCTTCAGAAAGTGCATCAGTGAATTCAACCAGAGGTCCCAAGGTCTTGTTGATGGCCTCAAGGACATCAATGTCCTGCCATGAGGGGATGAGGTGCCTGGTTCCTTTGTCTTGGGAGAGGACATGGGCAATGGCCTTCTGCTGCTCAAGGACTCTGGAAACCATGGCCTGCCTAGATCCCCATCTGGTTGGACATTCAGTCTTTAAGGAGTGGTCTGGCAGTTTGAGGTCTATCTGTGCCTTTTTCAGCTCTCTCTTTTTTTTCCAACTGAATGAAAAGGTGCTGACCACTTTTTTGCAGACCCCCACTGCACGCTCAATCCTGTGATCTTTCATGGCTCTTTCTATAAAAACATAAAAAAATATAAACAAGCATTATCAGGATGATGACTGTCATTTCCTTGAGTGTGAATGAATAAGAAAAAGTGATGGTAGCTTATTTATGTGTTTGTATAATTCATAGAAAATGTGTATGACTGTGAGAATGAATAAAAGTATCTCTGAATTTAAATTGTTTTTTATTTATTATATTCATTCAAAGCATTATGTTGTAAACTTATTGAAAGAAAATCACATTATGCATCATATTCAGTAGGAATTAGGCCTACTCACCTATGGCCAAATGTAATCTGTGCCCAAAGCACTGGAGCCTCATCCAGCCATTCAGTTCTGCAGCCAGTATGACATTTGCAGCGTTGTCTGTGGTTATACAGACGAGTTTACTCTCCTCCAGATCCCACGTAGCCAGTGCTTGTTTCAGACCTGCAGCTATGTTCTGCCCTGTGTGGTCTTCTGGGAAAAATGATGTCTGGAGACATTTCGTTTTCATGTTGAAATCCATGTCAATGAAATGTACCGTGAGGCTCAAATACGGCTCCATGGTGCGGCTTGACCACAAGTCCGTTGTGGTGGCAAAATATTGGGCTGTAGCCACTTCCTTTGCGACACCATCATGACACTCGTCATATAAAGCGGGAATCGCCACTCGACTAAAATAGTGATGAGATGGCAAGTTATACCGTTTGTCCAAAGTGTTGATTAGTTTCTTAAAGCCGGGGGTGTCCACTGTGTTAATTGAGCATTGGTCTTTGGCGAGGAAAAACGTTACCGTGTTTGTTATCTCCTTGTGTCTCTGGGAGCTGGTGGGATATTTAGTCGCGTTGTACATGGTAGCGTGAATGGAGGTCTGTGAGGATGAAGCATGTGTTGTTGAGGGTTTTTCTCTATGCTCCTTCATTGTTTGATCGTATGTCACTTTGTGAGCGGTTTTCAAATGATTGAATAAATTTGTAGTGTTGCCCTGTGGTGCAGCTACAACACCGTAGCAAAGTTTACACACTATATCAACTTGATCCACGTCGGACTCCGCGAACCCATAATGTTTCCACACCACTGAAGTAGTGGTCTTTAGCAGCCATTATCCTCTCCTCTCCAAATAACGTCTGCTTAGCTCTCCTCAGGTACTCTTAATTGATGTGACACGTGTTCGAAACGCAGAGAGGTGCGCTCGATTTGCCACCTCGCGAGAGTAAAGCACGAGGGAGGTGCTAATAATCGGCTCAGTCATTTTTAATGATCGTTGAAAGCTCAGATCGTAATCGTGATTAAAATTCGATTAATTGAGCAGCCCTAACGTTTTCTGATTAAACAGAAATGTGAGATGGTCGAGAATTTGTCCTGTTATATTTGAGGGAGCAAGGAGCAGACGGCTGGGTTTATTAAACTCCACCGAGACAATCTACAAATTTCATAAAAAGTTTAATAAACTATTATCTTGTTTTTATTTTTAGTTAGCACATACCTTAAACGCTTCAAGTTGTAAGCTAATGATAGTTAAATAAGAGCAGACGCATGCTGGTGCAATAGGCTGTATGTTTTACATCTAATGGATGCATGATCTGATTGGTTGACTAATCACAAAAATAATCGGTGACTAGTCGACTATCAAAATAATCATTTGTGGCAGCCCTACATCCATGTACATACTGGAAATGACAGCTTCAACACGGCATTTAACCTTTCATTAGTCAACTGGCTTGATTCAAAATGCAAAAGAACCCACCCATTATTTTAGACACACTCTAGATCTTGTTCTGACATTTGGCATAGAAACTGATCATTTAACACTATTTCCTGAAAACCCCTCTTTTGTCAATCCATTTCCTACTAACATTTACATTTACAATAATGGATTACACCACAATGGAATAGATTACATCACACCAGATGTCTTTCTGAATGCACTGTAACCAAGTTTAAGGATATAATTAATCCACTGATATCTTCTTCAATGCCTTCAATGCGGAAAAAATTGTAGAGCAGCTACCTGAAGCTACTCCCACAGAGGTTGATTATCTTGTTATTATTTTTACTTCTTCACTGCATTCAACTCTAGATATTGTAGCTCCTCTAAAAAAGAAACCCTCACATCAGAAGTACTTGACTCCCTGGTGTAACTCACAAACACGCACCTTAAACCAGAGTACTCCTAAGCATGAGAGGAAATGGCGTCTCACCAGTAGGGCTGCAGCTAAAAATGATTTTGGTAGTTGACTAGTCTGCCAGTTTTTTTGTGATTAGTCAGTTAGTCAATGATTATTTAAATAACTCTTATCTCTGTGTCCTCTGGGAAAATATCCTGTTCTAGTTTCCAGTACCTCACCTGCTTAAGTCTGCCCACCTTAATATCACCCTGTTGTCTTGTCCCACGACAAATTAAAATAATGACCTAGAAAATCAATTTGAAAAAAATTTACTTTTAACAATATTCAATAAGACTGTCAGAATAAAAATGAAATAAATAAAAATATTAAGTAATACAAATTAAAATACTAGTAGTATTTAAACATAAAAAATGTGTACATGGGAAATTTTAAAAAAAAATTTCCGTGTACAACCATATCTTTTTTTTTTTTTTACCACTCAGTGGAACAAACCACATTTAATATTGTTACCAGACTGCGTTTTGTTATCTCTTGTAACTCTCCATTGAATCTTGGGCTTCAGTGACTTATTGTTGTGAGGACTCTACATTAAGGCAAAAGGTTGGTGAACAATTAAAATGATTATACTTCACAACACTTTAAAACGATTAAAATGCATGTTTTGTCCTGTACTATTATTCTGCTTTATTCTGTATTATTTTTGATGTAACTGCCATTTCCCATGGGCCATGCCCAAGTCAGAGTAAGGCTAAACAACACCTCAGTGCATTTGCCAGACACTTTAGAAATGCTCCGGAAAACGTAAGAATAACAAAATTGGATGCTTCTGTTAAGTGAGCCTTAATTACCACGGCATATGAAGTACATTGCACTACTTTGTGATCTATAAGCTTGTTGAACACCACACTATTAACAATCATTGTCAAAAATCTAACAACACAGACACAGCAGTAAAATCAGTAAACATATAAGTGGACCTCAGCGTAGATTTTAGCTAGCAGTGTGGCTTTAATCGACAGTCTGTTACCACATGAGTCAGTTCTGTTCAAAACGCTTAACATTTCAAGCGCTCGATAATGGGCTAGACGTGCTGCAGCTACCCGAACCCACCTTACTGACTGCTTTCTCTACACCACAACGGGTCCAGGCGATGAAATTTGGCGACTAGTCACCGAAAACAGTGGAGGTGAGAAGACGTTCAACTTTACGCAGACACTACTTCGCACGCGCACAGGCTGAACCAAGCTACTTCCGGTCACTATTTCAAAATAAAAGTAAAAAGTAAAACCTCACGTAAGATGACAACATTCTACCGTACGTACCTACATGCAATGTGATACGTAATATAATCTAACGTAATGAAACCAGCAGAGGTAGAGGTCCTACAGGGTATGACCGTTAGTGTTACGAATGCGTACGTGAGTAAGATATGTAAGCTAACATGGGTAAAAATTACAAATATTATTTTTGTGCAGATTTTGAGGACTCACAAATGCGTGCATCCACAAATACGAAGCAATTTAATAACATGTAAACCTATTTTATGAATGCGTTCATTAAAACCTGGATAAATAGTGATTATTTACACACAACTTATTAAGTTCAGCTTAAAAGTTCTCTTTTAAAAACTCTTCTTTGCATGCAAACTTCTAAAACTTCACGTAACATCCATCTCGCTCTCTTTAAAAAACCTTAAATGAGTGTGCACCAATCGCCTGATACGCACAAGTCACGTCTCACGCCCACGTGGGGTTTTGGAGCACTGCCAGCTTCGCACAAATCCACAAATATAAGCCGCGTTCAATTCCCAGTGTAAAACTGGGACATCTGGCCTTTCACTGTTCTTCTGCATTTTTTTTAATGAAGCGTTTCTTTTTTTTAAAAAAAACAAAACAGAACAGCTTGTCGCCCATCTACCAGAAAACATAGTTTTAACAATTAGGCATTACACAGTAGCCTATGAAGGTTTATATATGTTTTAAATAAGTTGCTACTACATCCTGAAGTATTCAGGATTAGTCATTAAGCTAATTGTGGCTCTAGCTCGGGAGGTTGAGCAGATCAACTACTAATCAGGATTCAGTGCCTGCTCCAGTTTACCTGTCTCTAGTATCTAGATACTAACCCCAAGTTATCTCTGATACGTCCATCCAAGTATGTGTTTGAATATTAGATAGAAAGCACTTATGTAGAAAAAAGTTCTGCGTATAAATGGGTGAATGAGGCAGTTTGTTCAATTGCTTTTAGTGCTCGGAGTAGAAAAGTGGAGTAGAAAAGTGCTATATAAGAACCAGTCAATTTATTATCAGAGAATGCCTGATTTTTCACAACAGGCCTCTGTGTAGCATCTATAATTGCTAATACTATTAATTTTCTAGTAGAGGGGTTATGGGCTGTTTGTTTTGTTTAGAACTGTCAGTTGTTTTGTTTCTTTTTTAAAAAATTGAGGAGTACAGAGAAGAGTTTTACACAGGGACATGGACGCAGGTTACATTTGTGGATCTGTGCAAAGCTGGCAGTGTGAAATTTACCTCAAAATCCCATGTGGGCATGAGATGTGATCTGTACTCGTGAGGCATCAGGCACTTGCTGCACACGCATTTAAGGTTTTAGTGAGCAAGAGGTATGTTACCAGTGGTGGACAGCGTTATGTATATTATGTAATATACATAATGCATGGTTAAAATACATCAAATGCAGTAAGTACACACGTTTCACAGCTAAAGACATTTTTATTTCAAAAAGTTCATAATTAGACCAGGGCTTTTATGATTGTGTTGGGTTTTTGTTACCTCTCTTGTGAAGCACTTTGTGACGTCTGTCTGTGTAATGTGCTATATAAATAAACTTTTACTTAAACATAGCACAACCTCACGTGTCTGAATTTAGAGTTATTTTTTCATTGACGTACTGTATTAACATAGTTGATCTAAAATCACACAAAAAACATCCCAGTAGGGAAAAACCACAAACATGTTTAGTGAATAATTTTCATAATTTGAAATGCAAATATACATTTAACAAACTTTACAAATTTTGTAAACAATAAAGTTATACACAACTATTTACCTAAAAATGCAGCCAATGCCTCTGGCATTTTTTGTATAACCATTTAAAACTAATGAACTACTAAAACTAAAATTACAGAACAATTAGGTTTCACAACCTGCCACTCCAAAAAAAAAGTTTGTTCGCCACAAGACAGAGGAGAAATTCCCTGGCCTAAACCCTGCTTCCCTGACAACAGGAGGTAAATGGACTAGTTCTTATATAGCGCTTCTCTACTCTGAGCACTTTATACAACTAATTCATTCACCCAACTCATTTAAGTTGTTAGTGCTCACTATCTAACATTCATACACATTTACACTCCTGGATGCATCAGAGAGCAACATGTGGTTAGCATCTTGCCCAAGGATATTTGGCATGCAGACTGGAGCAGTCTGCCAGCCTGGGATCGAACCACCAACCTCCTGGTTAGTAGCTGATCTGCACTACCACCTGAGCTACAGCCAGCCAACCAAGGACAGAGATACAGGTGTATCCCACTTGGAGACAGTGATTGCATTACAATCTGCCTTTTGTGACATTTTAGCAGCAACTGTGACATTCACTAGTAATCTCATTATTCTGGAGAAACCAAAACAAACGACCACACTACACACTAACAATACACTCCAAACAAACTAAACATCACAAATCTCTCTCGTCTCAAACTCACTGTTGATCTCTCCGCAATCACTGCCAAAATTTTCCCTGCATCCTAAACAAACAAATGTCAGGTGTTGCCATATAATTTTTTTTGATTGGTCGACATTTTTCTACCAATAGGAAATGGGAGGCACTGTTTTTCTTGGTTTATTTTTGCGCTGTCCTTGAAAATGCCATTTTTAATGCTTTTTCCCCACAATAAATGTAACGACAGTATTCATAAAAAATTATCACATATGTTTTTTTGATCATAACTCTGATTTTAATGGCATATCAATAAAAACTGAAAACTGGTATATAGAGTTTGAAGTCCGAACTTTCAACACGAGTTGGCTGCAGCTTGTTGCTGTGTCAGCTTACATTGGTCATGTCGACCCCAGAGAGTTAATAACACTCACCTTTATTCCATTTCCAGACTGTGTTGAAATCTAAAACACAGATGAGCTCGGCACAATCATAGTGGGTTGCTACTGACAACAAAAAATAAAGCTGTTCCACGCTATGAGATGAGCCATTTTTTAATGGGTGAGAGGGGTTAACACAATGCAATATATTCACTATTAGAATTTACATTCAGTGTTAATTGTAGCTCAAAGTGTTAATACTAGCTTATAAACAACGATGTCATTTGCAAAACTAGGGTGGCACTAGGGGTGGCAAGAAATTATTTTAGGGTGGCACATGCTACCCCATACCACCACAGTAGATCCGCCCCCGGATGTCACCTGTAGTTTTCGACATGTATACATAAATCAGTTGTATCATAAACAATCGGAACACGTTGTTTTCTGGTTGTTGAGCAGCCAGTCTACTCTCCTCTACCCTCTATGTTTTTTTTAGTCTTGTTTTTTAGCGAGACATACCACGTCGACATGACTGGACTGGTAATCTGCCATAACCGGCATTTGCACGGAGGACCGACAAGTCCTCGAAGGGCAGCTGTGCACGTACAAGCACTGTCAGCAAGCCTATTCGTTCGTTTTCATTAACGAAACTGTATTGCCCAATCAAATCTGTTAACGCAACAGGACCCACCCCTACCTTCGCTGTAGGTTCATGCAGCTTGTAGAACAAAGTGTAGTTTGGAAAAAGTGGCGAAAATGAGAAGGTAAAAGGCAAAGAGAGGAAAAGAAACTAAAACTAAACAGCGAAACATGTCAAATTCATCTACACGTTAGCTGTAGGTGAGCCTGCTGCAGCTGTACTGTCAACAGTAGTACCAGCAACAACCAGTAACAAGCCCTGGCAGTCACAGGAAGTTGCTGTTGCTAGCACTATGGAAAAATGCAGCAGGAGGAATCCCAACAACAGATGGAGAAGAGTGAAATTAACGCTGTAAGAAAATAGATGGAGGGATGGAATTCGGAAGGGGGAGATTGAGGATCTGGGTAAAAGGAATGGTTACTTTGACCAATCCCAGTGGCTGAAGTGTGGTTTTTAATTGTCATACGCGGCGCTGCAGCACAACTGAGAGCCCAGCAACAACTGTACTTAACCTGATTAAAGCCTGTTTCAATAGCAATTATCAAATGAAATTAAATATGTAAATAATATGTATAATATTATATATATTTAATTATATTTGTTTATTTACCATATGTATAGCGATCACGGTAGGCCTGGAGCAAATGCTAGGACCAATTTTATTTTACTGTCTCACTCCAGCCATGCAAGTCGAGACAAGTGTTTTATCTATCTATCTATACATACATATATATCTTCTGTCTGTACCCTCTGTGGGAGGCTTGGGTGCTGTGCATGTGCGAGATATTGGACAAAAAGTACCTTATAACTATGCTTCTTTTTCTCAAGAAAAAGTGTTCAGTTATAAACTGCTGTAGGAGACAGAAGCTATACATATGACCTTTCGTAAAAGCCACCCATTAATACCTTCCTTCGGCTCATATGGAAGATGGAAATCCTTCTATCAATTAATTTAGAGACAGCCTTCTGCTGCATGCATCACATGGAGACGACGGAACAGAAAGGTAATAGAGACGGGTGTGTTCCAAAAGTATTGCAAGCTCTTTCCAAATATCAATAGTGGATTAATCAATCAATGTTTATCCTCTACGATCTGTGTGTAGTAATACTGAATGGTTCAACATTAATAATTTAAAAAA